ATAATATGGGTATGACATAGGTATTACAACGAGAAGGTGATTTTTGAGGACATTTTCAGTGTCCCCGTAATTCAAAAGGCTTATAAATAATACAGAATGAGTTTTTTTTGAAAATCTAAAAATGCAGAAAGTCTCCTGTGAGGGGTAGGTTTAGGGGTAGGGTTGGTGTAGGGCAATAGAATATACGGTCTGTACAGTATAAAAACCATTACGCCTATGCAGAGTCCCCTTAAACCATAAAAACAAACCTGTGTGTGTATGTATGTATGTGTGTGTGTGTGTGTATATATATACATAGGCCTACATACATTTTTAAGCAACGTGACCAATGTCTATTTGGACATTGATGTCCCGCCATCACATGACCGAAGCCGATTGTTTTGTTATTGATTAACAAACGAAAACAGCTCTATCAGCGTTCCAATGTGATGTCACATTTTACTGCTCTACTTCTGTGTTCTGTTTTGTTTGATCTTCCGCGTTGTCTAAGCGACGCCCCTCCCACTGACGTCACTGCATCCCGCGCCTCTGCACGTGTACTCGGAAGCTTCGCCTTTTAACAACGAAAGTCTGTTAGCAATATTGACAGTGAATAAACATTATGCAATGATTGTGTCCACTCTAGCAAAGCTAAAAAAATAGCAACATTAACTTAAATGTCACTGTCATCCTTTATTTTCTTTAAGAATTTGAACAGGAAAATGTGTCTGAGAAATACTGCACTTATTAGTTCCTGACATTAATTGTTCAGTGCAACTGCTCGTATTGCATAGATGCCTTTTTCTTTTTTCAGAATGTGATTTAAAAAAAAAAGGATTTTAAACATTCTGTCCAGAAATTAGGCCTGCATTGTACAATCTCACGCGGAGTATTTAAAATGCTAGGATATAACTATGCCTTTTTATTTAGTTTATTTAGCCATTGCTAGCCTTCTGCTCAAGGTCACGAGAGCACAATGTGTTTTTAGAAATAGAATTTAATGCTAATATCTCTACACATATCCAGTTTTTAATGATGAATGTTTATGGTTATTTTTAATGATCAATTATTCATTGTGCAAAATCATTGTAACTGACCCCTGTGATTATTTCTGATCACCTTGTGAGAGACCTAACGACATATATAATAATAGATGTGCTAAAAAAAAAAAAGCATGTCAATGCCCTTGAGGAATTCTTATCCTGAAAAGACGATGATGATTTGTGACATCATGTTTTTATGTATGAAGTTGGAGAACAATAATAGCTTCCTCATTGAGAAAGAACAAAAACTATTAAAATATATAAAATTATATATATATACTATTTTTAAAATAACAATTTGATTAAAATAATAATTAAAAAATATTTTTTATTTTATTAAAATAATTGTATTATGGCAATAGGTATTGGTTTTGCGGAATGACCCTGCATATGGCCCTTTTCCCTTCATGAGAATCACAGATCAGAAACCAGAGGCGGATCTGCCGGGAAACACTTGGACTGTGGACAGAAGGGAGGCCCCACTCACACGCCCTCCTGTGAAAGCAGGATTACCTCATCTGAGCTATGAATAGAGATTTTCACACAGGTTATTGAGAAGGTTTTCTTCCAGTCCGAGTGCGAATTAACACATAGAAAGCCATTGGGCTTTTTTGTGCAGATCCTTATCATGATAGACAGAATAATGTCTGTTATGAAATCGACAACTTTATTTGAAAAAGAAAGGGGAAAAAAAGCTTAAAACGCATACTTAGATCATTTTGGCTACTTGGCGAAGATGTCGTCATAAGAATGTCATTGAATTAAGTGTGATATGATAAAAATAGGCTGTGCCGCAGTATCGCTGCAGCTAGAGGCTCCACACCGGATGTGCCTTATATGGGCAAGACACGCTGCTCTCTGATTGGCTGCCCACATTAGCGACAGGGTTGTTGCTGGAGCTCTCTGAGTGGGAGATCCATCATTGTAATTGACAAGGGACACGAAAAATCGCAGTTTTTAATAGAAAGGGCGCGGTTGAAGTATCACAACAATTATTTCATTGTTTAATTCTCATCCTTTGGCATACATACTCTTTGAATAACACTTTCTTACATTGATGATGTCAAATGCAATGTGTATTTTTTGTTGTTTATTTCTCTTAAATTATGCCTCGTGAGGCAATCACGCGCTTGCAGATGAACCATCTTTAAAATATAAATCTCTATAATATGCATAAATCGCAACCTCACACAGGAATGCCAACAAGGCACGTAAAATGACGTATCTTGTTCATTCATGTGAAAGCTGCAGCGTTCAAATGAAAGAAAATAACCTCGGTTTACGCATTGGACGCTTTATTTGAATGCCTAAAATGTTGAATCAAAGCGAGAATTGTTTTGAATCAGGTATATCTGTGAAATGCCGTATATATATATTTGGCTCGTGCTTAACTGTCTCCCCCCCGGATCAGTGGTACAGTCTCACAAATTTCATTCATAAAAATCTGCCTCACTATAAAGAGAAGCAGCGTTGATGGCTGGTGCCTCCTAGTGTAGTAACCTCAGTCCAGATTAGAAAACCTTGCAGAATAGCATTTGGTGACATTAGTCACATATTAATCTGGTTCCCAGCATCTCCTGGAGCGATCTAGCAGAAGTGATGCCTAAAAACGCGAGTGTTTCTCAGGTGTCTGCAGAACAGCTGTTGCACACATCAGCTTCTGAGATGAAGGATACGCAGGTACAATCAATTGCATGTTTACATGGAATGTAACCTAAATGGACTATTTATAAGAGCTGTGATCGATGATTTATGCTTATGTGAGGATTTCATATTTTTTTTGAATACAAACAAATGATTGATGTATGTTGTATTAAAATGCAATTTTGCTATGGACCATATATGATGAACACATTTTCGTGCTCGTTCTCAGAAGACAGGTATTCTGAAGGATGCTGATGCTCCCTTTGTTCCAACGGTCACTGCTGTAGCTTCAGCTCCAGATCTCAAGTGGATGGTCCTGTCGACTGACATCTCCTCAGTGTCGCCCTGCAGACACGAGAAACCACAGAGCTCGTCTCACTCCACAGATGCCAAACCAGCTCAAAAGACCTTCACTGGCCGGAGGAAGGGGGTGAAAGATCAAGTAAATAAATACCTATTTAATATAAATGCTCAGTATATAAATTCGATGCAGCTTGGTTTTCTGAAGAAATCCACATTCAACTGACTGTAGAAAACATATATTAAATCCATGATATACTAGTATATTGACCTGTTACATTCTTTAAAACAAAGGTTATTGGCATCTATGGTTCTATTAAGAACCCTTAACATCCATGGAACCTTTCCATTACACAAAAGGTTCTGGAAAAAAGGTTCTTTTTATGGTTCTTTTAAGAACCTTTGGGTTCTTTGGGGAGCCTAAAATGGTTCTTCTAAAGCATCACTTCTTCCTCAATGTCCTCATGGAACCTTTATTTTTAAGAATTTAATTTTAAGTAAAAATATGCATGCATTTCTTAATTTAGTATGCATTTGCTGTCACTCAATTATGCTTATATTAACCGCCATTTAAAAAAAACATAGTGATTGATCATTATACAATATACATTTAATCAAACTCACAGTGCGTTCCATACTAATTAGACTTAATGTCGATTAATAAAAAATTGTTTTTCCTGGGAATTGAACCCACAAACTTGGGTTTGCTATATATTTATTACACACACACACACACACACAGACAGGTTTACATTTGTGAAAAGTGGGGACATCCCATAGGCGTAATGGTTTTTCTACTGTATAGACCGTATATTCTATTGCCCTACACCAAACCTACCCCTCACAGGAAACTTTGTGCTATTTCAGATTTTCAATACACTCCATTCTGTGTGATTTATAAGCGTTTTGAAAAGTGGGGACATGGGGTAATGTCCTGAAAAGTCACCTTCTCCTTGTAATACCTGTCATACCTTTGTCATTATACAAATGTATGTCCTCATTTGTCACAAAAACGCGTACACACACACACACACACACACACACACACACAAAAATGTGTGTGTGTGTGATAATGGTTATTTTACAATATTACTGTTTTTTAACAAATTAACTGTGCCTTGGTGAGCATTGTGTTTATTTCAGCTTTCTCCAGAGGAAGAGGAGAGGAAGAGGATCAGAAGAGAAAGGAATAAACTCGCAGCTGCCAAGTGTCGAAATCGCAGACGAGAACTAACCAACAGCCTCCAAACTGTAAGTTTGCAAACCACCATAATATGCAGTCGTCTTCATCAACAACAACAAAAAAAAGATAACTTTGTGTGTGATATGATTATAATCTGCCTATGTCTAGGAAACCGATAGTCTCGAGGAGGACAAAGCAGCTCTGCAGTCTGAGATTGCCAGTCTGTTAAAAGAGAAAGAACGACTTGAACTCATCCTCTCTGCTCACAAGCCCCATTGTAAACTCACGGAGGAAGAGGCGGCAGAGAGTGAGGAACAAACCCAAGCCCAGGAGGAGCAGATTCAAGCTCCTAATGTCTGCCCAGATCAGGCACCCCCCTCCCCTCAACAGGTCGACCCCACCAGCACTGCAATCTTTGGCGACTCTGATGTCCTCCTGTGTTCCAGTGCCGAACTGGGAGCTGCTGAGGTGGAACCGTACATCGATATGCGAGATGTGTCCATGGAAGACATTAGCAACGTGATTGACAGTGGCGATGACATGGATCTGTTAGTGCCAGATATCGACCTTACTAGCTCTCTGGGCCTAAGCGAATGGGAGACCCTTTACATGTCAATGGGTAGCGGGTTGGAACCTCTCAGCTCGCCTTCATGCAGCCCCACCTGTAGCAGCACCAACACCGTGCCCGTCTTCAGCTTCAACAATGCAGATGTGGAGAAGCATGACAGTGGCAAAGAGGGCCAATCTAATGCAGCCAAAGAAATCTTGACGACTTTATGAAGCTTCTGGCACATCGTTCTTATAAAGGTTCCAAAATGGGGTTTTCACAGTGATGTCTAGGTACTTTATTGGCATTTATGGTTCCATGAAGAACCTTTGGAACCTTGTACAAACACTCTTTATAGTGGAAAAAGGTTCTTTAGATGATTACGTTCTTCACACTAAGAAAAATCTTTGAATAACTGTTCAATAAAAAATAGTTCCTCTATGGCGTTGCTGTGGAACCCCCACTTTTGGATCCTTTATTTTTAAAAGTGCTGAAGAACCTTTCAGTGAACAGTTCTTTAAAAAGGCTGATCTTTGTTGGCATCTACGGTTCCATGAAGAACCTTTAAAATCTATGGAACCTTTCCATTGCACAAAAGGTTCTTTAGAGTAATAAAACGTTCTTCACACTAAGAAAACAATGGTTCTTTTAACAGTTGTTTGTTGAAAGGTTCTTTGGGGAACCCAAAATGGTTATTCTATGGCATCGCTTGGAAAAAACCCTTTTGGAACCTTTATATTTTGGGTTCCCCAAAGAACCTTTCAATGAACAGTTCTTAAAAACACCTTTTTTTTTCTTAGTGTGAAAAACATTTTAATATTTCAAAAGAATATTTTTTTCCGACAATAAAGAACTTTTCCATGGTTCCAAGGTTCCATGGATGTTAAACATTCTTCATGGACCATAAAGAACCTTTATTTTTAACAGTGAAATAATCTGAGAAAGAAGGGTGTGCTGTGAAATATTATGAAAATGCTTTCATAAATGAGTCTGACATGTTCAACATTTACAAAAAAATATAGTGAATGCTGTGCAGTAGATGTAATGTGACCCTTTCATGCAGTGAAGTCACTATTGTTACTATTTGTTTCTTCCAGATGTTGACATTGTTTAATATGTTGTTCATCCTGTGAAAGACATGCACTTTTGTACCATAGGTACGTGTAACTGTATCAGTTAATGTGGTGATGTACAAGTGCAGTCTGTTACGCCGTGTCTTTAGTGTGTGACTTACTGTTTTTTGGTATTGTCAAAATAATAAAAATAATAATAATCTGACCATGGTGGCAACAGCAAAAAAAATCTTTATGCATTTTTTTGTTCTTCCTGCGTCCTTTTCAATGGTCTGGCATGTTTATAATAAACAAAGAATAAATATTAAAATTAAGAAATGTGTGGATTTATGTATTGTTAATCAGAGTGGGGCAGACATTTAAAGCCTCTCTTTCAAGCACTTGGAGTTTCTTTCATTCGCATGCACGGAAATGAATGCATCGTTTCAAATAAAAAATAAACATTCACCCACGTCTATTATCATTTCATGGAGTTTCGCGATCCATCTATTTCTAAGAAATCTGTGTAATAACATTCACCAACGACGACTTCTCGATACCGAGGCTGTTGTCACGGTAGGAACGTTTTCTCTAAAAGCCTGGGACGCAACGTAGAGCGTCTGACGTCAATGCGTATGTGCACGCACGCATCTTTTTTAATCTCTCGGTACTACTTCCGTGCCCATATTTGGTAATGAAATCGATCTGTTGTTCTGCCTCTATGGAAACAGCAGAGTAGTGTTTCACCAATGAAAGTTTTCCCGGAAGATCTAGTAGCGAGAGAGAGGAGCGGCTGCGGGGAGAAGCTGGTGGTATGTTACTGGAACTGTTTTGTGTTTTTCAGGACTTCATTTGGGTATCCAGCGTACATTTTAAACATTTTACAAACGTTCATATTCTTATAAAATGGCCACTGCTCTGTCGCAAAAGTTTTAATATCCGATGAAAACATTGTATGGCAAAAAAAAAAAACCTCTTGCACTCTTAATTTGAGTTTTTAAACTCTTGTTTTTTAAATTAAACACTACTTATAAGAACTAAATTAATTATAGCAATGCATTGTTTATTTTTTATTTATTTTGGATTACCTGCAGTATATTGTGAGTCCAAAAGTCCAAGGCCACGTGAGAAAACGCTTCTATTTTGCAGTTTAATAACATTTACTTTATACATTGTATTATCATAACAACAATTTAATGAGAAGTTGAAATGAAAAAATCAGTAGCCTATGTAACAAATGTGTTGAATATGTCGTCTTGATTTTATATCATTTAAAAAAAAAAAAGTTCATCACATTAACTGTAAAAATCACATTAACTTTGCTCACTCTTTCTCTCTCTGTCTTTGCTTATTTCCAGCTCTCTCTCTCTCTCTCTCTCTCTCTCTCTCTCTCTCTCTCTGTGTGTGTGTGTGTGTGAATTATATAAGAGAGTCTAAGTCTTTATATATATTCTATACTCTCTCTCTCTCTCTCTCTCTCTCTCTCTCTGTGTGTGTGTGTGTGTATTAAAAATAATTCAGTGAATAACAGTTTATATACAGTATTTATATACAGTTTTCATTATCCTAAAACTGTTTTATTTCTTATTTCTAGGTTTAAATAAACAAAAATGATCATTTATATAGGCTATTTATTTATTTAAGTATGATCTCAGAATTTTAAACCGTACTGTGTCACCAAATTTCTTTATTATTTTCAAATAATCATTAAATAAATGATTATTATTAGCCTATTCCACAATTGCTTATTTTATAGCATGGCTCGGTGTTCACCCGTATCATTGCTCAGACTATAATTCAACACTCAGACAGACTGTAATATGAGCAGAAGGAAATCTGTCTTCTGCTGCAGGAGAAACTCTCTTTCCCCACACAAGCAGCTCAACATAGAGACACACGGCTGCTGTTGCTGGCAGTGTAGATTTACTGAATGTTCTTGGCACAAACACAATATAAACATCTCATGTAGGCCACTTTGTTAAAGTGTGAAAGGATGAAAAAGGGAACCCGATGGACAGACAGATCATGGTCAGTCTATTCACGTTCAGCTTTTGATTAGTCAACATGCTCCCTGCTAATGATTCAATGGCTGAAATAAAATTATGTCCAGCAGGACTTCCTCTTTTTTGCATGATTCAGGTTGCAGATTTTTAGCATATAGTGAAGTTTATAGTCAGCCGGATGTCTGGTATGTCGGATGTTCACAATTAGATTTTTCTTCTCATACATTTGACTTCATATTTTTCAGATGTTAGTGCAGATTGCATTTAAATCCACAAGCTATTTTGTTTATTAATACAATGATTAAATATAATGTTGATTCTCTATACAGAATCACAAGGAAACTATCATGCACAAAGCAACTTTTTTTAAGTATGCAGAGACATTATAAAATCCAAAATATTTTGCTCTAGGAAATCTTTTGCAAATAAAATCGACAGTACTTTATGACTATAAATGTGGCAGGTCGAATAGTATTGATACTGCAACATTATCTCATGTTTATGCGTGTGAATAATGAGTAAATGTACATCGGGAATAACTGATTTGTGTTCGTGCATTTCCAAATGACTGTATTTCCGATTATACTATATTTCCAGGGTCGGAAATGTTGTTTTTGGAACAATGTCTGGTTGCTATTCGGTATGAGTTTATCATTGTCTTGCATTTATTAATATGATCGTGAAATGCAGAAGTGTTGTACTCAGCATTGCTCATCAGGATCTGAATGTGAGCGTATACAGCCTTTGAAGGAGGAATTAAGCTCAAATCATGTCTCGTCACGTTTCATGCTTTTTTTAAGCATTAAAATTGGGTAGAAATGTTTGCATTTCTGCACTTCTGTGGGATAAATCTTTACAATGAGCCACATATTGTGCATTACATGTAACTTAAGACTGAAAATTCCAGGCCTTATGAATCCTGATGACCCTTCTGATGAGACAGTAATGCTGTCGGACAATAAATGTGGAAGAGGAAGTTTGTCTGTGTGTCAGAGGTGAGGCACAGAGGTGATCGTGTCTGCGGTTGGTCTGTCTGTATGTTTCAGTGCATGCCAAAATATCCAGGTTGGATTGTTTAATCATATGAATGTATAAGCCATAATCACAGATTCAAATGAGAGATGCTCATTAAACCCCCATTTTGTTTGATGGATTTCTCTCTCATGTAGCCTGTGATCAAAAATATATTGTGTAGTTATTCTCTCATTATTGCAACAATTGTGGAAATTCTTTTATTATTTCAGATGCATTGAGTTATGTGGACCAGCGGTCAGTTATACGGTTTATTTGGTGTAGTGCCATGTAATAAGATGATATATTATAGACTGTGAGCTGAACTCATGTCAACACAAAGCAGCTCGTCTTGAAGTCTGTCTCAAATGTGTCTAAAATAGAGCAGATACTGGAAGCTATATTCGTTTTGGGCACTTAAAATGATTTTTCACTGCAGATTTAATTGGAACTGAAAGAGTGCAGCTACATTATATCATCTTCAGTAACACTTAAATCACTAACTTAAAGAAAGGTAGTTATAAACTCAAAATACTGCTAAGTTTACTAAATAACAGCTTGTAGATATTGCATTGGACCTGTAAAAAACTGAAAACATCCTGAGTGTTAAACAACAGGATGAGTGCCTTTAAAAATAGAGCAGATACTGGAAGCTATATTCGTTTTGGGCACTTAAAATGATTTTTCACTGCAGATTTCATTGGAACTGAAAGAGTGCAGCTACATTATATCATCTTCAGTAACACTTAAATCACTAACTTAAAGAAAGGTAGTTATAAACTCAAATACTGCTAAGTTTACTAAATAACAGCTTGTAGATATTGCATTGGACCTGTAAAAAACTGAAAACATCCTGAGTGTTAAACAATGGGTGAGTGAATGGGTGAGGATGAGTGCCTTTTAAGCAATTTATAATCATATTTTCTCTTGTTGAAAAAGTTTTTAAGCAGCTTTTGTCATTGCATAAAAAAATGTCAAAGAAAGTCCCTGTGTCTGTGCTCAAATGATACAAACTTGACTTTGCAGAGACATTTAGCCCTTTCCCACCTTTTACGTTATATTTGTTTGACTTTTAATCATCTTAACATCAAAGAGAGAACTCAAGTTCAAACAGGTGTTTTAGGAGAGAAACCCCAGATGCAGTTCACACCTGTGTTTCACAACCACAAACCGTCACAAGTATTTTATCTTCATTTTCAACACTATAGTTGTTG